ATCTCCTGCGAGACCGCCTTCAACAAAGGTATCGCCCTGAAAACCGCCGTGTCTGAAGTGGTCATGGGCCAGACACATCCTTGTTATCTTCCAGTTGTTGCGGATCCCGTACACCGTAATGAAAAATGGGCAGTTGGCAGTGCTGCCTGGAATGAGCTGCTGCTGCCCTTTCACCGCCTTGCAAGTGTACTTGGCGTTTCCTTCTTGACGACGAGAGTGATAGCTGTTGTTGGCCACGCGAATGGAAAAGCCACGGGCTCGAGCAAACTCGCGACAGCGTTGCAGCAGAGCCTTTTTCGACTCAAACGTCACAGACGCAACGTTGTTTCCATGGTCGGAAACTACGCCGTAAGAAGAGGGGTCGAGGGGATCCAAGCCGACATCTAGCTCAGGTCGTAGCATGCGCATCTCGATCAGTTCGGCGATGTCCGCTTCTTCGACAGCGGATGAGGTGATCATGGGCGAAGACATTGTCCGGGTGACCGAAACAGGAGAGGTGGTAGAGGTGTTGAGGCGTGTAGTTGGGTGGGTATCCGACAAAAAGACGAATGAGCCCTGCAGTCAAAACTCGCGAGCTAAGAGAACACAGGCTAAACGAGGTGGTTATGAAACTCCTACAGAGATGTGTTGCTAAGCTCCGGCCCAAGATACTGAAAAAAAGTATGAACGTCCGTTTCAAAATGTACGACAAGAAGCTCAGAATACCGCGAAGTGAGATGCCCAGAATGCCCGTCCGTTTTAAAACTTACGAGTCGTAAGTTATTGCTTTCAGACTTTTCAACAAACCCAACTGTACTTATCAGACGCGCGGCCGACGAAGTTTTAATACAGAACCAAGTGCGTTAGTTTGGTCTGCGTGCATACAATTCTACGAAGCGATGATGTAAACTTACACATTAGCATTACGACACTCTTACTCTAAAAAGGTAATTTCGTACGATATTACTTGGCCCTGGAAAACAGTTATTTTTGCCCATAAAATTAACGTTCAATTCGGATATGATAAAACGTTATTTTTGACTGTGGCAATCTACTTGCAAATTGATGCATTCACCTACTTAGACTTTTACAAAAAGGCTTCAATCTACTTGAAACTTAATTCCTCGCGCGTATGTCATCTCCTGCATGATTTAGCACATCCAGCATGGATTAGCATCCTTTTGGCACTTTCCGAAAGTGCCATTTCCGAGCCAAGCTGGCTTCGAAACACGACTTCAAAGCCACTATGATTTACCACTAAGTACGAACACTATCTAGTGCACTAATTAGGAGGGAAAACCGGTTGCAAAGCACAATATCATAGAGCACATATATATCATAGAGCACACTTTCGATTATCCAATGAAAGCCATATAATTCACACTTGAAATAAGACATTCAATCTCGGAGCCTGATAGCCGCGCTCGTTGCGTTACGCCATTTTGACTGGCGCGAACAGGTAGAACGCGCTTAAAAAGCGAAGGTGACGCGCGGCCAAAGCAGTACGAGCGCTCGTTGCGATTACTTAAGTACGTACGAGTTCAAGCTGTGTGTGCTTCGATTCCTAGACACTACACCGATGGCAAAAACGGTAGCTAACGGAAAACGCCAATTTGTATACCGCATACTATTGAATTGAACACTTGTCAAATCTAGAAAGATATACAAATAGGAGGGGGGGTTATACTACCAAAGTAGCTCCGACGCATTCAAGTCTGAAATATTGTGTGTAGAGCTAGCTACGTTCTGCAAAACCTCTTTGATGGCATCCTGCCAACGTATGTACCAGTCTTCAAACCATGGAGACATCCATAGATTGCGCAGAGTTGGTTCACAACGTCTCTCATGCCGTTAGATGCAAGCAGAACTTAGACCAACAACCAAAACCATTTTTCTTTGGGTACCTTACGGTAATTTTGCGTAAAGTTACACAAAATGCAAACAGTACCGAATACAAGTGTCAGTTTTTAAACTGTGGTCTTTAAAAAGATAAAAATAACCGGATCTTGCTTGCCGTATTTGACAAAGTAATACTTACACGGAAAATAAAGGGTGATTTTCAATTTTAAGATATCTCTTAGCCAATCAAAAGATGTTTACATGCTAAACTTCACATAAATTTCAAGAAAATTATAAGTACTCAACGTTCTATACGGTTTGGTTGAGGTATACAAATTGGCGTAGGTACAATAGCTTTGTATACTGAGCACATTCTATCAGATTTGAGAGGAGGTATTCAATTCGGGAAGGGTACGCTATTTGGCGCTATCCGTTAAGTATTTTCCTGACGGGAAGGTGATTCCCTTCATTTCATTTTCATCCGGGCTTCAGGAACAAACTTTGCCAGGAGGTCTTTCACCGTCTTGGCCGCGATAGTTTCCGCCAGATCGAAGGTCACTCCAGGAATCTCGTACACGTCCATGATCTTCGTGAATATTAACCCTATCGTTAACGCCATACATTTCTGTTTGAAGAGACACCATACAAACTTTAAGTAAAACGGGGTAAAATGATGCATGAGGTATCATTTTGCTGTATTAGGTTTGCGAGGCCAACTGATCAAAAGTATACGTGATGGGAGGTTTGAAGCGACCTTTCCATCAAAAAGATACGTGAGGCATCATTTTACTGCTTCTCTGTGATTCGCTGCGAATCGACAAAAGTATCAGTGGAAGCAGTACCGTGAGAACAGCACCCTAACAAAACTTTAGTAAGAGCAGTACCGTGGATCACAGCGCCATCTTGTGGATTATGTGGGGCTTTTCCTAGTTGTGAAGCGGCGGCGCCGTGGTCTCCGATGCGACGCTGGCGACTATGGCGGCTGTCCTGGACCTGGCCGGAGCGTCTCCGACGGCGGCGACAAGCACGCGATGACTGCGGGCATCTCGGGCAGCAAGCACAACGGCGGCCGCAGCGCCGCCGTGTGTGCCGTCAACAGCATGGTCTCGGAGGCTTCCGCGGCGACCGTGGCCGTGTTGGATGTGATCGGGGGCGTCTCCGCTGGCATGGTCACGAACGCGACGGTGGCATTCGGCTCGGGCAGCGAGCGCAACGACAGCGGCAGTCCGCACGCAGGTTGCCGCCGGTAGTAGCGTCAGCGGCGTCGCCAGCGACATCGACAGCAGGGTCTCGGACACGATGGAGGTGACTCTGACCTTGGGGGATGCGGTCAGATCTACGATGTCCGTGCAAGACGTTGATGTAGATGTGTACAATGGCTGATATATGTTATTGGCTCTACAGGTAATGAACAGTGGGATGAACATGTCTGACAAACGAAGTATATTGAATGTCCCTTTCCATTCTGCGCGAGGTACTTAGATGTAGGGCTCTACAACCCTGGTGTACCAGTATGCGTGATGAAGCTGGGAAGACCAAGACACTTGAACGTCGATACGCTGTCGGGGCGTCCAGACAGAACAGAAGTTGCGCGGGCAGGTTGGGCGGTGCCGGCCGCAAATTGTTGCCATGACAACGACGTCGACCAAACCTGCTGCTGAAGATGCAAAGTCCTCCAGCGCCGCAAAACTTGTAGGCTCGAAAACGATATTGTTCGCAAATAAAACACTGCCCCCGTCAAAATCCTCGCGTACGGCTGGGCTCATCGCTCTGAGGTCGGCCTCGTGAATCGTGACCTTGGATAAATTCGGGAAATCCACGCGTGCGCCACGAATCAGCAGTTTTGACATGTTTGCCAAGTTGTCCTGGAACTCAATCCCGATGCATCTCCCAACACAAGTCTCCAATGCCACTTGTGCAACCACGTTGCCGATCCCAGATCCAAAGTCAACAAAAGTTTCGCGATTGTAAGCGTTGGAATGACTGCCAGTATTGCTGAAACCCCAGTTGGCGAAATCTCACCAGCATGACAATCCGGCGCATGGACGGGTTGACGCAAGGCCGAGGCATGCAAACTTGACACAGCGTCATGAACGTTGCCAACATTATCGGGAGCGCTCACCTTGTGGCCACCACTAAGCGCGTCCGTGCCGATTTTTGATCCCG